ATTAGTGTAATTAAAACTAACAACACAATTTTGTCTAAATTCCCCCAGGTGTAATTTGGTGTTAATCCTCCCGGTTCAATGCCGTCACGCAGTCACTCACACACGTGCCAGTTCAGTGTAGGACTGAATCAGTGATCACCAGCATTGTTGCTGGATGTCTTTGGGTGGTGAAATCACGCCAAGGGAGCTCCATGGTTGAGGTGTCAGTGCGTAGCCGTGTGGGGAGTTTGATCTCAGCCTGTGGACAATAGATGAGGCAAATGGAATGGATCTGTGCAGGGTGAACTGCACAGTCCTGTCCCACCCCCCGCTTTACCGTCAATCCTGATGTGATTGCTGGATTAGAAGCTTTTATCGAGCAGACTAACGGCTTTATGGTATGGGCCAACTCCAGTATGGACATACAGTTGTAGCAAGTGATTACAAGAGACATATCCCTGCTTCTTCTCTCTGTTCTGCTCATCGACATGTCATATCTACACACTGTTTATATACACACACACACGTTTGTGTGTATATATATACAAAACTTGTTAACTTGTTTTTAATGAAACAATGGTTACAGAAAAACCTTGAATCTGACAAAAGTAACAAATGCAAATAAGAAAATGAAAGTCATATTGCTTTTAAACCTACTTCAGCAGAATAATAATACATTTTTTTTCTAAAAAGGAAAAGAAATTATTGTTCACTTAATATTTGTTGCAGAACCTTTTGAGGCAATCACTGCAATCAAACGATTCCAGTAACTGTCAGTGAGACTTCTGCTCCTCTCAGCAGGTATTTTGGCCAACTCCTCATGAGCCAACTGCTTCGTTTGTTTCAGGTTTAAATGGTGCCTTTTCCAGAGGGCATGTTTCAGCTCCATCTAAAGAGGCTCAATCAGATTTTGATCAGAACTCATATAAGGCCACTTCAGAATAGTCCAATGTTTTCCTCTTGCCATTATTGGCTGTTTTTAGCTGTGTGTTTTAGCTCATTATCCTGTTGAAGACACATTGCCTGCGACTGAGACCAAGCTTTCTGACACTGGGTATTTCTCTCTAGAATTCCTTGATAGTCTTGAGATTTCATTGAACCCTGCAGAGATTCAGAGACCCTGTGCCAGATGCAGCAAACATTACAGCCTCCCCCATGTTTCACAGTAGGGAAAGTGGTCTTTTCTTGAAAAGCTTCATTTTTCTGTCTGTAAACATAGAGCCGATGTGTATTTGCTAAACGTTCCATTTTTGTCTCATCTGTCCATAGGTCATTCTCCCAGAAGCTTTGCTGCTTGTTAACATGTAGTTTGGCAAATTCCAGTCTGAATTTTTGATTTGCTTTCAACAAAAGTGTCCTCCTTGGTCGTCTGCAATTAAGTCCACTTTGGTTCAAACAACAATGGATGGTGCGATCTGACACTGATGTAACTTGAGTTTGAAGTTCACCTTTAACCTCTAAAAGTTGTTCTGGGCTCTTTAGTTACCTTTGGTATTATCTCTGATTTTTCATACATTTTCCTCCTACAGCCACATTGAGGGATCTGATGGAACTTTCATTTCTACATAACATGTCCAACTGTGGTGACAGGAACATGAAGCAGTTTGGAGATGCTCTTATAGCCTTTACCTTGTACCGTGTTTGTCTTATTTTCTTTCTAATGTCCTGAAAACACCCTTTCTTTTGCTTTCTCTAATCCATGTTTAGAGTTGCACACACCATGTCTGCATACATTACAGTGACCACCTGTAGCCCTATGTAGAGTTTGAAAAGCCCGAATGTCTGAATTTCATTTGTTCATTTTAATGAAATGTTTTTTTTATTGTTACTTTTGTCAGACTAACTTTATTTCTATGAATATTCTTGGTATTAATTTCATTAAAAGAGTGACACCAAAAAGTTATATGTCGATATATATTAAATATCTCTCTCTCTCTCTCTCTCTCTCTCTCTCTCTCTCTCTATATATATATATATATATATATATATATATATATATATAGCGTATATATGTGTCCAGCAGGATGTCTTTGGCATACTACATAAGGGCCACAAAAGTCATGTTCATGTTATTGTTGAGGAATGTTCTTTGAATAACTTTGAAGCAATGTTAATTTTTATTATCCTACAGGACTTGGCTTCTGCTAGCCTTTTCAAAAATCATTTGCTTTGATCACCGTGGTATCGCTGAGCTTGGCAGGCTAGCAAACGCTTCTAACCTAAAACTCATAGATAATCTATGGAAGATTGTTAAGAGGAAGATGAAAGACACCAGACCAATCAATGCAGATGAGCTGAAGGCTACAGGCAACTTAGGCTTTCCTTGCATCTCAGCTAAGTCGCAGCCTGATTGCCCCTGCCCTGCCATTGATGCAGCAATTCATGCGAAAGGAACATATATCCAGTTCTTGGGGTTTTTCTCTAAGTGTATTTATCTTTGTCTTTCTTCTAAGGGTTTTTAATTTTTTCAAGGGTCTCCATTAATTATGCTTATAGGGTGTATATATAGGTATGTTTTTATATCTTTCTGCATTTTATATATACATGTAACATTCTAAGCCAGGTGAGTCTCAAGATAATTGATCATGGTTTCATAGTCGAAAAGAGGATTCTTGATCATGGTGAAATAAAAAAATATTATTTTATTGATCTTCTGCAATATTGGTATTCATGCTCATATATTATTATGTTTAATACATTTAAATATTTCTCTATTTTAACTGAATTACTGTAATTCTAAAAAATCTCTTAAACATTGAAAATGTAACAAAATCATTTTATCATTTTAAATACTCAACTTTTATTAAATAACATAATTAAGTATTTTAACACTTTGTGGCACCTTTTCTAAACAATTAAATTAGGTATTTCCTTTTGATGTTACAGTTTAGCTGCTCAGCCGCTGTATCTGTGACTAGGCAAATAATAATAATAATCAGTAACATGTATTTTACGCAGTTTTTGCAATAGTACTGACGTAATTAAAGCTTCATCTGTCTACTACCGTCTGTTTTTCAGACCTACTTATGTTGTTGACACGATTAAACACCACCCAGGTGCCAGAGAATAGAGAACCAGTGACGGCGGTCAGGTTGGGACATTTCAGTTATATTACACAAACATGCTTTCCACCAATGACACCAAATCCGGGGGTGACATTTGCCACTTGAACGTCTCTTTCATTTTAACAATCTTTCATCGGATGTGATTAGAGCTCGGCAGCTCTGACGTAAACCAGATTGTTAGGTGAGTCTCGCGCGGCCAGCTCTGGGGTATAGCAAGCCAATTTGTCATATAAACTCTTGAGACATATAAATACCCATAATTCACTTCATGACAACAAATGCTGGATATAAGAGCAACAAGATATCTTCTCTGAATTTTTCTCACCTGGAGTAACTTTTAGAACTTAAGATTCATTTTTTGATTATTTAATTTTTGTGTGTCTTTGTAGGACAAAACCTGAAACGTGCAATATAATTGGGAAGAATGGAATGATGTATCTGTTCTTGCCATCAGTATGTCAAAATGGCTGCTTGAAAATATAGTAAAAAATATATAGTTAGTTGTGCATGGAAAAATAATTTGTACTTGTAGAAATGTTATTATTAAGACCTATTTGATTTCTATTTCTTGTAACAATAATAATATTTTGATGAAGCTGTTCTACATTTGTTCTTTAAAGTTTACATATTTTTCCATTAAAGAAAAAAGTCGGCTGCCAGTAAAATTCTTCTTCAGCAAAGGAATATACTTAATTAAGTGAAGAACATCATGCACAACAGTAAGCATCCTCTTCAAAAGATTTTTAAACAACACACTGTCCTTAGTCAGAGGCTAAATAAAATGGGTAAGCAAGCATGATGGGGCACCGAAATTAAAATCAGGTGTTTTCTGTAATGTTCAGGAAATGTTCAGTAAGACTTCTCCATCTATTGGATCACTGTTCACAATCAATGCTCTTTAATTTTTTTAGGGATTTTGTTTTTTTAGAATTATATTTTTATTACAATTCCACATAAATACTTAATTTGACTAAACTATTACTCATTAATGTTATTTCTTATTGCTTTTTCAGTTTAGTTTTATTTGAAATACTGGAGTTAATTGAGCATTTTCTTTAATAGGGGTATGTAAACTTTCAAGCACAACTGTACAGGGTATGCACCTACTACTTCATTGAACTATACCCTCTGAAGCTATTTTTTTGCAAACTAAATTCAATTCAGTTTATTTATGTTGTTTCAAGACACTTTACAGAGTCAGTTCAACCAGATCATACAGTCAGACTAGTTCAAAGTTTTCTATCTGAGCAAAACCAGTGGACTGCATTGACTCATCGACTCACACCACTCTAAGTTTGGTAAAACTTTGTATCTTAGCAAACGTTTGTATCAAATTATTATCATAAAAACTTTATGGTTTTATAGCTATATTGAAGACAACTGTAAAATGAAATTTTGGTACATACTTATAAAGAGATAATCTGCACAGGTTTTATTGATCAAATAAACACAAATACACTCCTCAGTCTGTCACACCCACACAGCTTCTTGCTTGCAAAAAATGAGCACCATGCTCTATTTCCTAACATCTTTCAATGATACCCTGAAAAACTTTAAAATTGCGTTTATGACTGAAAAGTATAGCCATACATGTCCTCTTGTTGGTTTTTAGAACGGAGAGCAGAGGCACATGCTTTTAGATGCAGCAGAATGAAAACCATGGCAACGTCTGAGTTATGTGATATGTCTTTTTTATCCAACGTAGCAGTCAGCTTTTGTGTAAATAAAATGGGCTATAAGAGACCTAAGTATTTTTTTTTATCATGCATAACTTGTCCATTTAGATAAATCACAGCCGCCTCTTTTATTATATGTTACAATGGCTTGCCATACCCTCCTGCCTGTCTGCCTTGGTGAAAAGATAGGCTGAAAGCTCTCAGGCTCGTCATCATCAGCGCCGCCCTGTAGAGAGAAGGAGAAAGAGAGAGAGCTGGAGACCTCCCTCCCCGCCTAACAACCCCAACCCCGCAGGCTCTGTCACAACGACCCCACCCCCCAACCCCCTCTGAGCGAGGGCACGGAGCGACAGGCTCGCATTCGCGGAAAGAAGACCGTTTCGGGATCCCGGCTCTGTTTCGCCCTCAATCCGGGCCCTAATGCTGTAGCGGTCAGCGCGGGAGAAGAGAGCGAAGTGAGACGCAACGCAGCGACCGAGAGTCGGCGAGGGACAGGGCGGACTGGGGAGACGACGGGATTGCTCATTCGCCTGGAAACATGGGATGTACACTGAGCGCCGAAGAGCGCGAAGCTATGGAGAGGAGCAGAGCCATCGAGAAAAACCTGAAAGAGGATGGGGTGATGGCTGCCAAGGACGTCAAGCTGCTGCTGCTCGGTAAGAGGAGAGGCTGCAGCGCCTCGGTGTGCTTATGGTGGGGCTGAGCTGGGCGGAGGTGCTCTCCATGGTGCTGATCTCACTGCCTCTGCCCTCCGTTCTTTGCAGGCGGTGGTGAATCCGGGAAAAGCACCATTGTCAAACAGATGAAGTAAGTGTCCTATACTTTTTTTCCCACCGTTTTCTGGGCTCATATTATCTACTGTCAAACTCAGCCAGAGTGAAAGGCCCGAGATTGCGCCTCCTCTGTCTGAACGGAGGCAGGGCCGCCATGTTTCAAGAGGCCGAAGCCCCAGAGGATCACCGGTGACTCCAGCACCGAGGCCGTCCCAGGGTGCTGTTCATCGCCTGGGGTGCTGAAATGTAGTTAACGAGGGTTTCACTTGACTACAGGGAGTGTGCAGCTAGGGATACGGGATGTGTGTTAGTGTGTGTGAGTCTCTGTGTAAGGGTGTGTGTGAATTACAGTGAGGTCACTACTGCTCCATTAGTGAATACCTCTGCTTTTAATCTTAATGGCTTTAAGTGCCCGATATCGCCTGGAGTACTTTGCTTATAAAGCGGATTTACTCAGAAATATGGCTTCTAAAACCGCATCTAAACTTTCCTCGCCTAATCTAAATCACCCTTTGATGTTTTAAATGACTGCTGTTGTCTTCTATAAACCTCTTAGTCAAGTTATTAGATGTTTCAACACGAAAAGACATAGACCTCCCTAGAATATTAGGACCGTATCGTATTTCCTGGAGTCAATGCTTTAACTCTACCCTTTGGCACTGCAACTCAGGTAGGGGTTAAAACACATCAGCTACAGGTCAGGAACAGCCATCAGGCAGCTGATGCATTCTCTCGGTTCTCATTTATATCTGCTACATGCACACAATGTTCTAATCGTGCTATTTTATATTATATGTATATATATATATATATATATATATATATATATATATGCACACACTAATCATTAAACGTGATTGAACTAATGTTTATTTTAACTGCACTGGTAAAATCTTTGAAAGTTAAGACTGATTGGAATTTTTTAACAACATATTTCAGTGATAATTATGCCTTTAAAATATGACAAAGGAAAACATTTACATTTGCGAGGGTATTTCTTTTTCCTTCTCTCTCCCCCTACTTTACATAAACAATTGGCTTGGCCTACCCCTTAGGAACGATGGAGAAGCAAAGAGTGATATGGGATTTAGCATTTATCATGGGAGATGTCTGCCCTGCCTCCTCTTGTTTCCATTCAAACTCATTACCTATCCAGTTCTCCCAGGTTGATGCATAACATACCGCTCTGTCCTGAACCCAAGATGCATCTCAAAAACACTGTTTACAAATACTCTTAGGAGTTGCTCTGGCCGATGGTTATGCAGCTGATAGATGGGTTTAAGTGAACTCTTTGATTTATAAAGTTTAGGTATTGGAGTTGAACATGGTGGCGTCACATGCTTTTAGATTCTTTTTGCAGGTCATATTTGGGAAAGACAAATGTGATGGAGTCTGTTCAAGGGTTTGAGAAAAGTCTTAAAAGGAGGTGAAACGATGCATGCACTTCAGTGGATATGATGAGCAGATTTTATGAATAAAACAAGGATGGTGCTGTTGCCAGTCATCTGCAGAAATGTCAGCGATGTCTATTTTTGTACATTTCCACTTTAGCACCCTGTATTGGTCAGAAAGATCTTCATTAATAACTTATACTGCCTTCAAAATTGATACTAATTGTATTTAACCCAGAACATTGCAAGATTTATGATGCCTAGATGGGTTTTATTTTGAACAGAAGAGGCCTGATCAGTCTGACTTTATGTACATAGTCTCTTGGATTTTTTTTTTTTAGAATATTTAAGTAAAACATATTTTAATCAAAAGCTATTTTTCAAATGTTTACACTTGATTTGTTTAGAAGTATTAGTAAAACAGCATAACTGTAATTTTAGAGATAAATCAATCAGCTGATGATTTGTTAACAGACGGTATGGAATTAATCATCAGCTGCAGCCCGCCGTTTGTTTTTTCAATAATGCACCTGTGCTCATTCGCTCCCTGAAGGTTAATTTTTTTTTTCTTCCATAAAACTGTTAATGTTGATGATGGTGCTACAGATTCAGGCCATGTGGCTAATCTCTGCTCAGAAACATCTTTTCATAATGTGCACTGATGAGATGGAAACATAAAAAGCATCATCCCTTATCTGTTTTTCCCTCATCGGATGTCATTGAGTGTTTATGAATAATGTGATGGGGAACTGCTTGAAGGGCTCTGACTGTTGGTTTGTTTTCTGCAGAATGTCTTATATATTTAGTCAGTCAATGTAAGTAGGTGGTAATGGGCCAGATTATAAGGAGTTTTAATTGTGCCAGGTCTTGTGTGGAAGTGATTGATTAGTGCTCAGATTGATTCAACTCCATTGGTTGTCATGCATTATAAATGATTTAAATATCACATTACTGCCAGATTACACATCACAGAATAAGAAAGGGATCAGTTTCTGCCCCCCCTTAAGATGATGCTGAAAGAAGAAAGATGCAGGATGAGAAAACACAACAAAACACATCACAGAAGAATGCAGTTTTCCAGAAAAAGAGGGAAAAGAGGAGCTTTTATTTAGTCAGTTGTTTTTCAAAAAGGAAACATATGGAGATGTGAAATGTTTCTTTTTTCCTTTCTGTTTAGTCCAGGCTTGTGCCTGTCTGATAATATCTATGTATGCCTGCAGGATTATCCATGAAGATGGCTTTTCTGGGGATGATGTGAAGCAGTATAAGCCTGTGGTCTACAGCAACACCATCCAGAGCTTGGCAGCCATCCTTCGAGCCATGGATTCACTGGGAATTGAGTTTGGAGACAAGGACCGAAAAGTTAGTCTCACTCAGATCCCACTATGTGAATAGTGAATATGCAGAAAATAAAATTATAATTAATTCAGTCTTGATATGTGACACTGTCAGAAAGAAAGCAACAACTGGCATATAGATGGAGGTGAAGCTGTAGTGTAACTAGTAATTTAAGCAAAGTCAATTCATATATTCATTGTTAAAAAAGCCAACAAAATTGTCTCAGTTGGTGATAAATAATTAACAAGATCATATTTCTGTCTGCTCCCTTTGAACTTATGAAACAGGCTGACGCAAAGCTGGTCTGTGATGTAGTCAGTCGTATGGAGGACACAGAGCCGTATTCTGCAGAGCTTCTTGCTGCTATGAAGCGTCTATGGGCCGATCCCGGGACTCAAGAGTGCTTCAGCCGAGCTCGAGAATACCAGCTGAATGACTCGGCTCAATAGTGAGTTCAGCAAAAAGCCACTTTTCTATACACAACAAAGCAGAAAACAATAGTCCTTTAATTTTTTAATATTTTCTCCTGTTGCCAACAGCTACCTGGACAGTCTAGACCGTATTGGAGCGGCAGACTACCAGCCCACAGAACAGGACATTCTGAGGACCCGAGTGAAAACCACCGGCATTGTCGAAACCCATTTCACCTTCAAAAATCTCCATTTCAGGTAGAAAACAAAAACCTGCAGCAGCTTGTGAGGAGTGATTTTTAGCAGCATTAGCTTTTGCTTTGAACCTACCTGCTGTCTCTGTTTACAGGCTGTTTGACGTTGGTGGTCAGAGGTCAGAGAGGAAGAAGTGGATCCACTGTTTCGAGGATGTGACAGCTATTATTTTCTGCGTCGCTCTAAGCGGATACGACCAGGTGCTCCATGAAGATGAAACAACTGTAAGTACTGGGGGGAAAGTGGTGCTGTGATTTTTCAAGCCTATAAATAATTTCCATTGCCACCATCATACTGACTCCATTCTTCAATCAATCAAAGTTTTTTTTTCATTATGGGCCATACATTAATCTGACAAAAAGTGCTGTAAAGAATATGAAAAGGCAAAAAAAAGGTGACAATAGTTTACTTTAGTGAAAAAGAACTGGAATATACAATATATAAAGAAATATTCCTTAAATATTAAGGGTAAACAAATAAAACAAAGAAACTATGATAGATAAGACCATGTTAGATGTTCATTTTTATAAAAAGGAAAAAAATACAATTGAATAGTCTGGCGACCTGGCCAAGGGGAACCCCGCCTTTTGCCTATAGACTCTTGGAAAAGGCATCAGCCCCACCAGAGGTAGAAGATGGATGGACAGGTGATAGATTAGAATTATTAATAACTGACACAAAACAATAAAATATTTAAAAATACATGGATAAAAAAGTTACAACCTAAAATGTCTGTAAATGTCTAGATATAAGTAAAAACTTTATCAATACTTGAGTCAATATCAAGTCAAAACTTGATTAAATTCATAAATATAAAAAAATATCTAGCATAGCTAATTAGGGCTGCAACTAACGATTATTTTGCAAACCATTAATCTGTGGATTATTTTTTTTATTAATAATCGGATTGCCAAAGTTTCCTGAAAGAAGATGTTTTACTAAATTAAACCAGGTCAAACTTTTCCACTTAGGGAGTTCTGAATAGACCATATTGAGAGACATAAAAGTTTTGTATTTTAAATGCAAATTGTTTATACATATTTTTTACAATGTTGATATAATTCCTGCTTTAAGTGGGTTGCTCTGTCAGATAAAGGCATGTCTTAGAGTCTCTACACCCCATTTAAAAATTAAACTATTAATAAATTAGTTGACAATAATCGATATAATAGCAATCACTATAAATCAGATTGTTTCAGCCCTACAATATGAAAAAGAGATAGGAAAAAGACAAAACAGAAATGCATCCTATTATATTTTGTAAAGTGGGTAAAAGCCAAAATAAAATGCTTTCAAAAACATATCAAAATAATATAAAAACATAAAATCACATCTCAACGCATTTGAACATTGGTCTTTTAAGACTCGTTTGTCAGAATAAAATGACTTTTTTAAAATAACAACGTTATAGCAGGAAGTTAACATACTTCATAATGCACCCAGATTTCTTTTAGATTCTGTTTTTTTTTTTTCCCCATTTGACATTCCAATCTTAAATAATCTGTTTTCTAATAGCTATACATGGAAAATACTCAAATATAACAGAAATAAAAACTCTAAAACACCCGTCTGTTTGTAGTTAATCTATATGTGTTTCACTTAGTCAATTGAGTTGATTAAATAATTGAACTTTTCAATAATAATCTCATTTATTTAATATGACTGCAGTAATTACTGAAATTTCGAATAACTTTAATAGGAAACAAAACATACAAAAAACTTATAAGATAAAACAGGAAGATATTTCATTTATCTCTTTTAAAAAATTAAAACTAGAAACATTATAAAGGAATAAAGCATGAATATAGAATCTAACATTAAAATAGAAATTGAAATGAAAAAGTTTACTGTAGGATAAGAGAGAGATATTTAATTGGAGCAACATTCTATAACTATCTTTAAACTTTTTATTACATTAAAAAAGCCTTTTATGCTTGTAAATAACTATATTAGGATATAAAATTACTTAAAAGCAGAAGAAAAAGCTGTATGATGATTAACTTTAACTAAAAGAAAAACTGAATGAATCCAAACTCCCAGCTTCTGTCAAATCTTCAGAGGCTGCTCCACTGATGAGGACCACGCCTCACTTTTAGTCCCCATTTTAGGTATCTACCCAACACCTGTTTCTGGACACCTCAGGGAACCTGAAAAAAGTGCAATGGAGTATGGAGAATGATTAGATCTGTATTATAAAAGGATTTAGTAAAGTGTTTGCATTACACCAAGAGATATAAAGACAATCCAGCTATGGGAAAGTTCCTCAGATTAATAAATATGTATCTTAAAACATTTGTCTGAGTGTTGACCTGATAGGAAGGGTTCATAGGTAAATTTTAGCTGAATGTCGCTCTTCTTCCCACAGAACCGCATGCATGAATCCCTCATGCTCTTTGACTCCATCTGCAACAACAAGTTCTTCATTGACACCTCCATCATCCTCTTCCTTAATAAGAAAGATCTGTTTGCTGAAAAGATCAAGAAGTCACCACTGACCATCTGTTTTCCAGAATACACAGGTAAGTCAGTAAAGGTGTGTCCTCTCCTCCGCGCCCAGATAAACTAAGCGTAATATGTCTCCCCTCTTCCCTCTCCAGGTGCTAATACTTATGAAGACGCTACGGCTTACATTCAGGTTCAGTTTGAGAGCAAGAACCGCTCTCCCAACAAGGAGATCTACTGTCACCTGACCTGTGCCACAGACACAGGAAACATCCAGGTAGTGTTTGATGCTGTCACCGACATCATTATTGCAAACAACCTTAGAGGCTGCGGCTTATACTGAGGCCGCATGCCAGAAGCACAGAGGTCGTCATAGAGTGCGTGAGGTGTTAATAATGATAACTTTGATTATTCTTAAATGCATAAATATGTAATTCTACACGTCCAAACGGGACCCAAAGAGCTGTCGTCAAACACCACACTGGATCAATGCCATGATTTGTATCCCTGTCCTCTTATTTTAAATCTAAACCTCAGTTTTTTTTTTTGTTTTCTTTAAAAAATGTGTTTTTAAGTTGAATGTTTATTGAAGGCTTGAAGCATCAGAGGTTTGTTCAGCTAAAGCCTCGCCCAGAAACACAGAAAGGGACACTGTCCTGTAACCCTGAGGCGCTGTGGCTCTGAAAACAGCCTTTGGTGCTCCATGCCACGAGCTGCTGAGCGTGAAGGTGGAGATGATGATGATGACGGTGTCTTGTGGCTGACGGGCATGGACGCAAAGTAAAGAAGGAGGCTGTGTTAACTTTCCTTCAGACTGACACGTGACCAATTAAGCCTGCTGGTCTGTTCCAATCTGTTTTTAGTTTTTTCTGTCAAACATCATGAAAGAGAAGATTCTTCTGTTTAGAGCAGCTGCTGGTTGCCACCCATCAGCCAGTTATATCTAGGAAAACAGGAAGGAAGAGAAAACATTGGTGCCAATGATCTGAGAATTACATATAGGGGATTAGAATCAGAAATTATAGCTCATACTGTTGATTTATATGATTTAAATATCAGATTTTATTATAATAAATGATTTATTTATGCTTCCTACCTTTTAGATTAGTCCCGTACCATATACAGTGCTGTGAACACCCCCCTTACAGATTGTAGGGTTTTTGAAGCATGAATGACCCGTTTAAGATCATATCACAGCATATTGGTTGAATTTAAGCCTGGGCTTTGACTAGACTACTCTCAAATCTCCTTTTAGTCTCAGCACCCTCTAGATGTGGACATTCTGGTGTATTTGAGTTTATTGTCCTGTTGCATGTAGGGGCGTTAGATGACCCAGCTTTCTTTGTAAATGTCTTTCTCACAATGAACAGAAAACACACTAATCACTCCATCACTTTCTACTGTTGATAAATTCTTCTTCTGTAATGCTGTTAGTCGACTGGCAGGTGTAACAGAACACAGCATCCAGTTAACATCTTCACTGCAGTTTTAGGGATTATCAAGATATTTCAGCAGTGAGTTTTGCTTAGGGACTCTTCTGATGATGAGTTTTGCTCAGTCTTTTCCTTTTTCATAAGGCTACATTGGGGTAAATAAGGCCTGCAGCGCTTTAGAGATAATCTTTTGGTTCTCTGTTGACCTTCTATATTAAATCATTGATGAACTCTTAACAGTGTACGAGTAGACCGACCAACGATCCATGTTTCTCCATTTCTGGATAATGGTTCCTACTGTCTAACACTGGATTTGAAAGCCTTAAAATGGCATTGGTACCCTTTCTTGGGTGATAGATATGAATGAGTTTTTAAATTCATGTCAGACTTTTTCAAAATGCAAAGAAGAAATCTGGAAGGGGTGAATACTTATCACAGCACTGTATTGGTTTCCATTCATGTTACACTGAGGGGCAGAGGGAGCAAAAAGCAGCAGCGTCCATGTTTTCTGGCTGCTACCCGGCCCTTGGATGTGGACTGCAAAGAAAAAGACAACCTCAACTGAGGCAGACTTTGGTCGGGGGCTTTTTCTGATTTGAACCCACCCCTCCACCATCAATCATGTTTCTCTGTTTGCAGGGAAATCAAAAGCCCACCCATCTTCACCCTAAAATTCACCCTCCCATTCCCGTACTCTCTTTAACCCATCACATATCAGTCATTCCTCACATCCTATCTCCATTTTCACCCGAAAAAGCACCGTACTGTATATATATATTATGATTATACCAGATTTTTTTTTTACTGTGAATGTTTTTGTGCTGCACCCCCATCCTACTCAGTAGTTTATTGGTTGCTCTCATGTGGAATGTTTGTGCTGAGCCAATCGAATGTTGTGTTTACATTAAAGCCACACTTTTCCTATCTCTGCTTTGGCAGTCTTTGAGTTTTGATTGCGTCGCATTGTAACAAGCTGTTCCCTTTGCTTTAATCTGCACAGAAAAATAATGCTGGACCGGGAAATTAGGCTGAATATTATGAGAGAGTGAACCACTTTTAATGCTTCAGTGCCCTGTGAACAAAGCTGCGCGTTTGGAGTCAGAAATATGTATAAAAAAGATTGGGAGCAGGTCTGGCAGTGAAATGTGCTGGACGGCAGGGATCAGGAGCACAGCACAGCAAGCTCTCAATTTATTAGGTTAAAAGTGTTCCATCATCACCGGCAAGAAGCTATTCATATATTGAATGACTAGGCTGGATCAGCTGTCTGACCTGCTTCTGTCAGTTTAATGGCTGGGATGTTCATTACTGCTCTGCTGCACCCATGGCCCCACAGCTCCACTCCATAGTCCCAATGTGTCCCAGTTTTTCCTCTCAGCCAGTTTTAGGTTAAAAATATTTCAACTCTACTCTGATACAGTTACACATTGAGGATTTTAATTAAACATTTTACAGTTAATTAGGATCAAACTGTTTGCCATCACTGCTGTGAAACCCCGTGTCTCTTAAAGCTCAGCTGGAACTGATGCAGACTGGGATCAGCTGGCCAAACTGCAAAGAAAAAAGCACCGAGGAACAAACAGGGGTTTTGTTTTGTGTTGTGCACACATCTGTTAAGAGTTTTTGTTTTTTCCATATGCATCAGGTGGGTCTTTCTTCCCCATCGCTAAAAGCCGTTGCCTCTTGATCTAAAGTCGCAGCCTCTTGATATCTTCACTTCTGAAGTCAATCCGCAATGCCAGAACCTGACGCACCTCCGCGGGAGTCAGCCGCCATGTCAGTGGGCCTGAGTTAGGACCCCAGTAATCCAAGATCTCCGTCACCTGCACATAGATATAAACAGAGATCTCAAGATGCTATGAAAATAGCCCAATAATCAACCTGATTTCCCTCCACTTTTTGGCTCATTTTTCAATTATTTTGCCAAATGAATAAAAAGGAAATCACAAAGATTCTGGCTACATTTGAACCTGCCTTTAAAAAAAAAAAACTGAGCACCTACAGAACCCTATTTTATATGGACACAATCTTGCTCATATTAAGACCATAGAATATAACAGAGTAATCAGTGTTTCAGGGTTTATCAGAACGAGCTGCTGATTTCTGGTTAAGCTTGTTAGGAGACAGAAGAAACACTACCCATAACCTAATTGAAGTAACACAGTTTTAAAACTAGTCGGGAGTCTAAAGCAGCTGACATCAGATTCTACCTGAGCTGAAAGCTTGATCAAGTAGAAAAGCACTCGCAGAGCACAGACCTCTGCCAAGCAGCTAATTTTTCCCCATTTAGTGACTTAAACCTACAGTTAAACTTGCATCTGATCTGAATCATTACCAAATTTAAATGAGGTGTTCCTTGGCATGAGGTGCATCGTTGGTAACAATTTCCTTATAATCCTTTCATAAGCTTATAAATAAGGCCCAGCATGTCTCTGCAGCCTCTAGTGTCTGTTGTGCTTTCACCTTCTTCATTCACTCTCCTTTCTTGTTTGATCAGCAGATCAAGAAACCAAGCGAGGCATCGCTCCGCTTTCCCATATTTTTGTCTTCAGTCTAATACTTTTTTTGAGTCAATACTCACTGCTGCCACTCTCTGGTTTAGGGGAAAGCCGTGAAGTAATCTCTTGAAATCTGCTAAATTTTGTAGATATTTTTTTCAATGGTTTTGTTTTAGTCAACCCATACATTTTCTATATGGCAATATAACCCCAAGAAAGCCAACTGCCTTTCTCTTTTTGAATCAAATAAATTAGATCACATAAAACTGATATTTCTGTTTAACATCTGGGATCCAGATTTTCATAAAGCCCCATCTTAAAGGACACCTCTGTATTCATCTTATATTTGGGCTTTTTTAGGCCTTTCAGAAAACAAGCTCAAGCCGAGGGAAGTCGAGACCGAGTCAAGACCAAGACCAGTGCCAGTATGTGACAATAAAATGTGAAACATGATCAAAATCACTAAAATTGATCTAAAAGACCCACATTCACATAAAAACACCTAGATATTTAACACACAGAACTGGAATAAACATAAACATATTTTAAGTAATAAGTTGGACGTAGTCCCTACCGTCTCTGATAGTGAAGCACTGTAGAACTTACATTGTGCTGTATGCTTTTTTCTCAATGTTGCTTTACGAATATATTCTTTGTGATTTAAATAGCCGAATTTTATAACCGATTATTTGGCCGACATCTTCTCCCGTTCTCAGACAACCACTTGTAACTTTCAATCGAAGTGCTGCAGCTAGTGCGCAGGTGAAAGGTGGTGGGCGTGACAACGGTAAAAAAAACAAAAAACAAAAAAAAACATGCATTTACCAATGAGACAGGTTATTGCTTGGATTTGAATCCAAGCATCCAATAAAAAGAAGGATCTTAAAGAAACTGATAATATTCTGATGATTTGCGTTATTTCCACAGTTGTGGTCTTCACCGGTCTTGAATTAAAATGCCGAGTCCTCAGCGCCTGAGACCGAGACAAGACCGAGACCAAATGCGGTCAAGTCTGAGACGAGACCGAGACCATCAAAAAATGGTCTAGAGACCGGTCTCGAGACCAAGACCGATCTCGAGTACTACAACACTGGAAGCCTGTATGACATGCATTTTTTTAAAGTCATTTAACAACCTAATATTCAGAATAAATGCGACATAAATTAAACAAGTATATCCATGCACATAAAAACCAGTGCAAGTATAAAATCCCAACAAGAGTGTAATGAATCTGAATTACCCGCTCCAAGTTGAGGATGGTGGCCATCTGCGTTAGGCGGGCGAACTTGTCTCTGATGGTCCAGGTGGTGACAGTGGTTAGGTACGCCACCAGAGACCGAAGCTCTTTATCAAACTGCAGCCCTCCGAGCTACAACATTGTGATGGGAGGAAATAAATGAACTGTGGTAAAACTAAAAGGTCTATTCAGGAAAATCTCTGCAATTATTTATATGTGTAGAGGTTGTTTGGTGCCTCCTAGTGGACAAAATCAGCTCCTTACCCTGCTAAATGAGCATTTGAGCACTGTCTTCTCCAGTTCAACAGAGATTAGGCTGGTCATCAGGCTCGTCAGAGTGTCATAGATTACAGGAGAAAGGGCTGCCTGTGGTGGTGAATTAAAATGGGTTAAAACACATAATGAATACAGTCAGAAATGAGCTGATTTAAGTTAAACACCTTAAACTCTGCCATGAGCTGCTCCAGGTTGACAATGAGCTGCTGCACCCAGGGGTCGTTCGCTTCATAATCATTAAACTCCTCCTGTGGAAACCGGCAACAATGAAGACTAAAGGAAAACATAAGTTCTGGAGCTTTTCCATTCAGAAATGTGTGATGATTAGTACCTCCTCTATGTTGTGGGAGATGGATAAAAAGCTGCTGATCCAGGGTTTGACTTGAGGCTTTACAGCTGTCGTGTTTAACTCTGTTAGACCCTCCTAAGTATTAGAATAAAATTAAGGTTTTAAACTTTCACCATCTAAGAAAAGTCCTATTGTGACAAAAATGGGCTCCCTTAGCTCTACAGATAGCTCTTTAAAAGACTTTATTAAAATATATCTATCATCAACAAATTCCGGGCAGGAATGGTGGTTTGTCCTGTTTGTCTCTGTGTTGCCCGATGGACTGGCGACCTTTCCAGGGTGTACCGCGCCCCTCGCCCCTAGACAGCTGATGATAGGCACCAGCACCCTCATGAACCCGCTTTGGATAAGCGTGAGGGAAAATGGATGGATGGATCTGCAAACTCATACAAGGGTTCTACTCATGCATCAGGGACTTTAAACAGTTTACCTTGGTCCTTTTGAATGGATTTATGGAAACTTTATAAGCAATTTCAAGTGTAACAGTAAAAACATAGACCACTTTGGCTTAATTGACAGAAAACTATCAATATTCCTCAATTTTTCCCTGTTCGACTAACCTGTAATAGATCCTTGAACTTTGCAGAAGTGCTGACCAGGTCAGACAAACAACTCTCGATCTTTGCTTTTTCACCAGATCCTATCCCCTGACTAAACAGCTTGGAGCAGTCATTCTGCCAGGAAACAAATCAGCTTTTTTGTTAGTGGAGCAATTTACCGAAAGAATGTAGATCAGAAAGTGGAAAAAAATTTGCAACTTACCTCCAGGTTTCTCTTTAGAGTAGTGATATTTTCACTGCAAACCTCTACATTATTCAAAGTGACCTGAGTTGGACAGACACGTTATAGAAGTGCGACAATCAGCCAGAGATCAGAACCAGACAGTTTTCTGAAGTTAGGGTCTAGTTATAAGGTTGAATACAAGATTATTTGATCTTTATATTAAATAAATAGAAACAAATTCAAGAACTACTGCTATTATAAGTTTATAAAGGCATTAAAAAGCCATACAACTTTTGGCTGCCTTTTTTTTTTGAGATTCCAAAAAGTCTGACAAAGGGTTATGGAGATATGCAAGGATAATACTGTAACCCTTTTAGCACATTTGTACATATTTATTGGACTTTAAAAACCTGAAGGAATTCAAAATATTTATGCTCCAATGAATGAATAAGGCTTTTGGTCTACAATGGCAATAACTTGTGCAATGTAAAAAAGCTGTCATATGTGGACACACTGTACATACTGTACATATCCCATTTACCCTTGTCTTCCTTTGGCACATTCTTTTCCTTTGACTATTTAAGCTAATGTAACGAGTACATTTCTCAACAGTGAGAACAATAAAATCAATCAAGTCAACCCTAATTCTGGGTTATAGTAGCTGCAGGACAGTGTTGTGTCTATGTTCATCTTACCAGGAACGCAGCCTTGGCATTCTCGGTGCTCTCGATGCCCAGCGTATTAAACTTCCCCTGCTGTAAGCTGCTCTGCATCAGGCTCACCGCACTGCTGACTCCCCGCTGGATGTCCTGAAGCGTGGTAGCTGGGAAGCCCTGACGCAGC